ACAAACACACGGGTCAGAATTAGGTCAAGAATAACTTTCGATGATACTGATCTTCCCTGTTTATTCTTTTTCTCTTTCTTCTCATCTATCAAGTCCCTATCCCTCCTTGTGTTGGTTTTAACATAATAGTTTTAATATTTATTCTTGGCAGTTAACCTTGCCATACAAACTTCCTACATCCTGCCATTTTTAATCAACGTATTAGCATATTAAGAAGGATTTTGTTAGTTTGTTTTAACCCCTTAAGGACACAGCTTCAAAAGCTTGTCTTGCACTTAAGGACCCAAGAAATTTTCACATTTTTTGCTGTTTGCGTTCAACTGCAATTTGCATTTTACTATTTTATTGCACCGACACATATTATATACCGTTTTTTAAAGGACAAAAAGGGCTTAAAATTGATGTAACATATACATATATAAATGCTTATTTATTATCAAAAAAATACAAAAAAAATGCCCAAAAATGTAAAAATATTGTTTTTTTTCTTCAGTTTTTGCAATAATAATGTGTGCATAATTAGTGCAGGTTAAGGAAAGTAATTAAAAATAAATTCATTTAGTTGTTCTGATTTACAAAATATATAATGTGTCTAGGATTTTCAGTTTTTTTTGGTAGTTACAGCTCACAAAACACAAGGAGTAAAATAAACTTTTAATGTGGAGCGATTTTAGAATTTGGTATGTTTGTCTTCTAAGCTTAATAGCCATAAAAGAAAACAAAATTGCCACACAAAAGTATATATTTATATAAAGCAGACATCACAGGCTATTTAACTAACATTATTTTGACACTTTTAACGTAGCCATTTCACCGCTAATCCCTGCTAAATATTGGACAAAAATTTAGTTTTTTTTTATTTTTGACACACAAAATTATAACAAACAACTTCTCATGTGTATTTCGTAAAGTTAGTGTGTGCTATTCCTGTACAAAACCTAATTTTGTGTTCAGCTACATTTGCTGGGTACAACGATACCCCTATTGTATGTCTTTGGCACTATTTCGTGAAGCTATAGCGCCATATAGGAGACATGTCCATTTCGGTATTTACAGTAGAATTCTGAGAGACGGATTTGATGGGCCTATGTTTCAATTTGGGCCACTATAGCAGTTTGACTGTTGGAAAAAACCCCACAAAGGCCTACCATTTGTAAAAGTAGACACTCCAGGGTATCTCACATGGTGCATATTGTGCCTTAACATGCCCCCATTTTTTCACCAATGTATGTCAAAGTTTGTGGTAAAAAATAATTTGGGGCATTTTTTACATCCGCATTACTTTTTTGCTGGGCATTTTGTATATTTGACATGTGCCACCATGATCAAAGCCCCAACATTATGCTCAGCTAAGTCTTCTGAGTAAAATGACACCCCCATTGTATGTCTTTGGCACTATTTCGTGAAGCTACAGCGCCATATAGGAGACCTGTCCATTTCGGTATTTACAGTAGAATTTTGAGAGACAGATTTGAAGGGCCTATGTTTCAATTTGGGCTATATAGCAGTTTGACTGTTGGAAAAAAAACCACAAAGGCCTACCATTTGTAAAAGTAGACACTCCAGGGTATCTCATATGGTGCATATTGTGCCTTAACGTGCCCCCATTTTTTCACCAATGTATGTCAAGTTTGTGGTAAAAAATAATTTTGGGCATTTTTTACAACTGCATTAATTTTTGCTGGGCATTTTGTATATTTGACATGTTCCACTATGATCAAAGCCCCAGATTTATGCTCAGCTAAGTCTTCTGAGTAAAATGACACCCCCATTGTATGTCTTTGGCACTATTTCGTGAAGCTACAGCGCCATATAGGAGACCTGTCCTTTTCGGTATTTACAGTAGAATTTTGAGAGACGGATTTGATGGGCCTATGTTTCAATTTGGGCCACTATAGCAGTTTGACTGTGTGAAAACCCCCACAAAGGCCTACCATTTGTAAAAGTAGACACTCCAGGGTATCTCATATGGTGCATATTGTGCCTTAACATGCCCCCATTTTTTTACCAATGTATGTCAAAGGTTGTGGTAAAAAATAATTTGGGGCATTTTTTACATCCGCATTACTTTTTTGCTGGTCATTTTGTATGTTTGACATGTGCCACTATGGTCAAAGCCCCAAAATTATGCTCAGCTAAGTCTTCTGAGTAAAATAACACCCCCATTGTATGTCTTTGGCACTATTTCGTGAAGCTACAGCGCCATAAAGGGGACCTGTCTATTTCGGTATTTACAGTAGAATTCTGAGAGACGGATTTGATGGGCCTATGTTTCAATTTGGGCCACTATAGCAGTTTGACTGTTGGAAAAAACCCCACAAAGGCCTACCATTTGTAAAAGTAGACACTCCAGGGTATCTCACATGGTGCATATTGTGCCTTAACATGCCCCCATTTTTTCACCAATGTATGTCAAAGTTTGAGGTAAAAAATAATTTTGGGCATTTTTAACATCCGCATTACTTTTTTGCTGGTCATTTTGTATGTTTGACATGTGCCACTATGGTCAAAGCCCCAAAATTATGCTCAGCTAAGTCTTCTGAGTAAAATAACACCCCCATTGTATGTATTTGGCACTATTTCGTGAAGCTACAGCGCCATATAGGAGACCTGTCCATTTCAGTATTTACAGTAGAATTTTGAGAGACGGATGTGATGGGCCTATGTTTCAATTTGGGCCACTATAGCAGTTTGACGGTTCAAAAACCCCCCACAAAGGCCTACCATTTGTAAAAGTAGACACTCCAGGGTATTTCAAAGGTCATATTTTAAACCCTAGCGTAGGATCATTTTTTTGCTAGTTTGTACCAAGTCTAGTAGCAATTAGCATTTTTTCTGCCTTTTTGACACACACTTGGCGATGTTACTGTATATTTTGCAATCCTTATGTGTGCTACGGCAGTGTAACACCTATTATGTTGCTCAGCTATGTCGTCTTAGTACAACAATACCCCCATGTGTACCTTTTTTCAGGGATATGTGGATGTTGAAGGGACACATTGGAGACTAAGCCATATCAGTTCTTTTCAAACTTTGAATTTTGAAGCTGGGTCCATGTGCAATTTTAGAGCCTCTTAGCAGGCTGATACTTCAAACCACCCCACAAAGGCCTACCATTTGTAAAAGTAGACACTCCAGGGTATTTCAAAGGGCATATTTTAAACCCTAGCGTAGGATCATTTTTTTGCTAGTTTGTACCAAGTCTAGTAGCAATTAGCATTTTTTCTGCCTTTTTGACACACACTTGGAGATGTTACTGTATATTTTGCAATCCTTATGTGTGCTACGGCAGTATAACACCTATTATGTTGCTCAGCTATGTCGTCTTAGTACAACAATACCCCCATGTGTACCTTTTTTCAGGGATATGTGGATGTTGAAGGGACACATTGGAGACTAAGCCATATCAGTTCTTTTCAAACTTTGAATTTTGAAGCTGGGTCCATGTGCAATTTTAGAGCCTCTTAGCAGGCTGATACTTCAAACCACCCCACAAAGGCCTACCATTTGTAAAAGTAGACACTCCAGGGTATTTCAAAGGGCATATTTTAAACTCTAGCGTAGGATCATTTCTTTGCTAGTTTGTACCAAGTCTAGTAGCAATTAGCATTTTTTCTGCCTTTTTGACACACACTTGGAGATGTTACTGTATATTTTGCAATCCTTATGTGTGCTACGGCAGTATAACACCTATTATGTTGCTCAGCTATGTCGTCTTAGTACAACAATACCCCCATGTGTACCTTTTTCAGGGATATGGGGATGTTGAAGGGGCACATTGGAGACTAGGCAATATCAGTTTTTTCCAAACTTTGACGCTGGGTCCATGTGCAATTTTAGAGCATCTTAGCAGACTGATAATTCAAACCACCCCACAAAGGCCTACCATTTTTTAAAAGAAGA